AGAAGATGAGCAGTCGGTGAAAAACTGCGGGAGGAGTTATTGAATAGCTTAGTCTAGAACAAGATCACTATTAGGGACCACACAGAAAAGATCGAAAATATTACATGGACGATGAGTATCTCATTTCAATCATTGAGCTTCAACGAAATATCTAAATAAGATTTTACAGTGGCTCAAGTCCTTAAGCACTGGTCACTCAAACTTACAATAGTGTTTGTTTGCAAGATTAAACTAACAACTGCTCCACGGCGAGACTCCTATTGAATTTTATTGTGGTTAGCGACATATGTTGAGCATTCATCAAGTACCACCTCTTCTTCTATCTGTGTATCTCTTCAGGATGTGGAGATCATGGCTCTCCACATTTTTCTGTCCTTTGTAGAGCCTAATAACTTCTTTTTTACCTTTTCTCACAAACCCTGCTTTGAAAACCATTCGCTCAAGATCGACAGGTAGGTTGTGACTTGCTCCCCTCTGACCCTTTTACCTTCAATCTGTCCTGTAGGTATCAAATTTTCCAAGCCCTCTTTTCCCTCATTATGTGTCTGTTGTAGCATACCTACGGGCGATAATGGGTATGTCCCCATTCGCATCAATACAGTAGTAAATACTGTATGTTGGTCTTCAGTTGGAGATTCGTCTCCAGCTGTGCTGGTTAAACACTCTGTCTCCAGGCAGAGAGGATCCCCAGACGAGGCTATGTCGAATGGCATTGTCTCGTTCCGGGAAACAGCTACCCGACCCCGTTTTATATGGGGTCTACAGGAATTTTTGGCCGATCATACCTCACATTAAATTCGAGCTTAGACCGTATCTGACGGCGTGGGGCGGTTGGTAGATATCCTGCAGTTGGAGATTAATTGTGGAATTCACTTGACTCGCTTTTCGCAGGTGACTGCGTCCTGGGTAAGACGATAAACTACATCCAACAGCAAGGCCTCTGTTCGGGAGGTTTTGCTGGTGTTCTCAGGTCCACCCTGACCGGGGTGGTAGCAGCTGTTAGCAAATAGTAGCAAATAGTTAACCCTATGAAAGTGTAAAAACAGGTTTTAATACCAGCAATAAATTGTTTGAAGAAAAAATTATTCCCAGCAATATATTTTTGAAGAAAAGAAATATTACTGGCAATACATTTTTGAAGAAAAAATATTACCAGTAATACATTTTTGAGAAAAAAAAAATACCAACAATATATTTTTTGAAAAAAAAAACAAAACATTACTAGTAATAAAAATCTTGTCGGCATTAAATAACCCATTGAGATTGATATGCCGTAAAACAAAACAAACTAAACCAAACCAATCTATCAATTGACTACTTCTTTTACACGCCGCTGGTGAATCTTATATGTGTCGTTCTTGTCCTAAGTATTATCGTTCATTATCAACCTTCGTGTGATTATTCTATTCAATAATTCAGTAACCCTCCCTTTTTCAGGAGACACGGTGGAGTAATGGATAGCGGTTCGGATTGAGGAGTTCGAATTCCAGTCGATTCTTCCAACCTATGGGTAAATAGCAGAGCAGACAGGATTCTATAGCCTCGACAGTCATGTATCAAAAGATACATGATCGCCTAACCATGTATCATGCCTGGCAAATAACTGACTGAAATATATTCACTAATACCCTCTACTTCTCTTCCCTCCTATGGTTAAATAGCAGGACAGACCGGGTTCTATAGCCTTGGATGGCAACTGGTCTACTGCAGGATATAATGGCGACATACTGCGGAGAAAAAAACATCTGCCTCGTCAGTCATGTATCGAAAGATACATGATCGCCTGAAATTCACTTACGTGCTAATACCCTTAGGAAACGTATGAATAATTTTCTCTCCCCCCAGATATGGGTAAATAGCAGGACAGACCGGGTTATTTAGCCTTGGATGGCAACTGGTTTACCGCAGAAAGAAATGGCAACCTACTGCGGGAAAAAAAATCTGCATCGTCAGTCATGTATCAAAAGATACATGATCGCCTAAGCGTGTATCACGCATCGAAAATAACTGACTGAAAGTCACTTACGTGCTAATACCCTTGGAAAAGGCATAAATCTTCTTCTTCTTCCCCCAGATATGGGTAATTAGCAGGACAGGTTCTATAGCCTTGGATGGCAACTGGTCTACCGCAGAAAGAAATGGCAACCTACTGCGGGAAAAAAAATCTGCCTCGTCAGTCATGTATCGAAAGATACATGATCGCCTAAGCGTGTATCATGCATGGTACGCAACTGTCTGACTGAACCTTCACTAGGTTACAATAATATCAATTGTTTCTTCCTGTAAGTGTCCTTTTTTTGCGATTGTCTCTAAAACTTTTCGTTGCTCATATGTTCAGTCCATGGTATTCTCAGCATCTTTCTGTAGAATCATGTTTCTGTTGCTTCTACTAATACCCTCTTCTTCTCTTCCCCCCTATGGGTAAATATCAGGACAGACCGGGTTCTATAGCTTTGGATGGCAACTGGTCTACTGCAGGATATAATGGCAACCTTTGTGAGGAGATTGTTCAACGTAGAGAAGGACTGATACTACGCAACAGTTCAGTACTTTGCCGCGTCTCGCTTGCTCACAACGGCGAGATGTTAATAATACTTGCACAATCCGTTTTCAATGCACTAACGACTTCACCAAGTGAACAAGATCCTTGACGTAATCCCAAGTCGGATTTTGGTAGCCCGCCGGTGGTGGTGATCAGGAGAAGGCACGGAGTTTAAATCCAGTTTTTTTTTTCTTTTATTGCGTCGAATCCAATTAGGTGCCGGAAACGAGAATGTTAAATTACGTTTGCTGATCGATAATTTTGTTTATTGAACTCATCCAATAAGCGTCGATTTGGTAATAATATCCTCTTCCATATTCATTTCCGTAGCAAAGAACGGCTTTTATTTTTTAATGAAATTATTGGGATGGCTCCTAAAAAAAAGAAAGGCAAAACCAGAAATGATCGTTAATTTGAAACCAGAACTTATATATTGAAAACAGAACTATATATATATATATAGAGAGAGACAGCCGAGTTCGAATTCCAGTCGAATCCATTATATTCACTTCCGTGCTAATACTCGTGCTAATGGATAAATAGCAGAACAGACTGGTCTAGGAGAAGGAAAACTCTGAATTTAAAACCTACGTAGGGTCGTTTGGGGACCTTGTGACACGTAGTGCCCCAGGTGTCTGTATTCGGCCCTTCAAAAAGTGTGAATGGTTCGAGACAAAACCTTCACCACTATAATCAAATCACATGTATTGGTGTCTGGCTGTCGGTTCCGAGGAACAGAGCTGCTCAACAACCCTTGACGTCGAATACGATAGGAGAGTCGAGTTTTGATTTCCGAAGTTGTTTTTTCTGTTATCATTTTGAATTTGTAGGTCTGATGATTTGGATCGTATTTACGATTCCAATGGAATAAATTATGACCATGGAATATTAGTGTTTAAGCCTTTTATTATATCCTTACTCTGTCCTAGACATTGAGTTCTACCTGGATCCTTCCTCTTGGAAAATTTTTTTCTGAAAATATACATGTATGAGTATTTTTTTTTATATATATTTTGCATATGTATGTATATTTTCCACTAATATTATCTATATATATATATATATATATATATATATATATATATATATATATATATATATATATATTTAGAGAAAAACAGACCACTTTAAGGTTCCATTATAATAATTTATTTCACCAGAGACCTTTTAAGGGACGCTGGATCATCACATAACACTTCCAAAAAATGAAATGAAAATTCACACTTTTGACGGATAGTATTAAGTTTATGTAATTTAACAGAGAGGGTAACGAGGACTGGTGTGAGAGACATGGTCGAGTTTAGAGAGGGCTTATTTTAAACTTATTATTTATATAAACTTGATACTTACGGGTGTAACAGCAAAATTGTCCGAATGGTGTAAAAGCAAAATTGCCCATTTGTTAGATTAAGCTCTGAACTGTTGTATCTTAGAAATGATTAAAGATATCTTACTGGAATTCTCCAAGGTTTTTATGACACTATTGGTCTCTACTTTGAGCAATAAGAATGTATAATTACTTTCCAAGCTTAATAGAACAATCGTGATGGAATGTATCATAAAAGAAAATAACGTGTTCATCATTAATTAATCATAGCTAAGGATCGGAAGCTCATGGAGGATTGAAATAAATTTCAAATATATTTTTTCTAGGATCATTTTCAAACTTATTTAAGATGTTCTTCATCCTCTCTAACCTTCTAACTTTCTGTCTTGGAGTAACAATTTGCCTCACAGGTTTCCCGTACGATTTCCTTTTCAAATCTTTTTTCACTTCTCTTTGGATTGTCATAACTGAAACTCCTCTCTCACGTACCAAACGTCTTATGGATTGGGTTGGATCTTTTCTAATTGATCTCTTTAACTCTAAGTTGAAGTGATGATCCCTCTTCCTGTTGTGACCTCCTAATCTAGTTTTCCTCTTTACTGTTCCCTCTTTTTAAAACTTATTCACCATTCTCTTGATGGTTCTTGAATGGGCTTTGAAGACGGAAGCCAGAGTATGAATGTTGGTACAATTACTGAAGCGCTGAAATATATTTTCTTACCATTGGGAAGACATAGTGGGTCTGACACAAAACGATTTTAACCTGCTCTTTTTTTTTTTTATTTTGTATGTTGTCGTTTCCCAGTCAACAGCCTTTTTACTTGTTGCCTTTCGCGACTACCTTGTTTTAGGAACCTTTTCGCTTTGTTTCAAAGTTTGCCATCAAATCAGTGTCACCTACGTCTGTTTTTAAGATTATGTCCGCTAATAATAAATCCCGGTAGGACTTCTAGCTTCTCGAAGGATCTCCTGTAAGGATTGAATCTAACTTTAATTTTGTAATATAGATTTGTAAAAAGAAAGAAAGTAATAAAACGAAAGAAAACAACTAAAGCTACAACAGCATAAAAATAATTTAATGGAGGCCATACTAACACAACTGATTCATTTTTCATTGCCTCTAAAAGGAAGATGAAACCCGTAGTAGGAATGACTGCTTTAGACGTTTGTTCACTCAATGAATTTCTCGTTATATATCAGCAAAGAGCCAGTTGTCTGTCTCAGTCAATTGACAACCTCACACGTCCAGTTAACTGGATTATAAACAACTACCGTTATTATTACTGGTGGTTAAGTGTCAACCAGCAATTACATTAGACACTTGCGCTATCGCTTGACACAGTGTGACGAAATGAAAGACTGAATGTTATTCAGTCGATTGCGTTGTCAATAATTTCTTTCGTTTATTGCTGATTTTTGTTGAATTCGGAGAAAAAAAACAACAGATCATTTGTTGAATTAACAACAGATCAAGTGTTGTTGTGTTTTGGAAATGCTCAATATAAGTCTAATAGGACAACGTTCACTATGAATTAATAGGTCAGCAGAAATAGGTCAAGTTTTTACACCCCCTCTTCCTCCTCATACGTCTTCTTCTTCTTCTTCTTCTTCTTCTTCTTCTTTCCTCTTCTTCTTCTTCTTTTCCCCTACCTCTTCCCTCTTTCTTTTTCTATTTTCACCCACTTCCACAACATCATCGTCTTTCTTCTTCTTCTTCTTCTTCTTCTTCTTCTTCTTCTTCTTCTTCTTCTTCTCCCCTACCTTTTCCCTCTTTCTTTTTCTATTCTCACCCTCTTCCTCAACATCATCGTCTTTCTTCTTCCTCTTCTTCTTGTTCTTCTTGTTCTTCTTCTTCTTCTTTCTCTTCTTCTTCTTTTCCCCTACCTCTTCCCTCTTTCTTTTTCTATTTTCACCCTCTTCCTCAACATCATCGTCTTTCTTCTTCTTTTTCTTCTTCGTCTTCTTCTTCTTTTCCCCTACCTCTTCCCTCTTTCTTTTTCTATTTTCACCCTCTTCCTCAACATCATCGTCTTTCGTCTTCTTCTTCTTCCTCTTCTTCTTCTTCTTCTTTTCCCCTACCTCTTTCTTTTTCTATTTTCACCCTCTTCCTCAACATCATCGTCTTTCTTCTTCTTCTTCTTCTTCTTCTTCTTCTTCTTCTTCTTCTTCTTCTTCTTCTTCCTTCTCGTCGTCCTTTCTCTTCTTTATCTTCTTTGTCTACTTTTCCTCCTCCTATTCTTTTTTCTCCATTTCCTCCTACTTCTTCTTTTTCTCTTCCTCCTCTTCTTTTTTCTTCTTCATTTTCTTCTTTTCATCCTACTTCTTCACCTCCTCCTTCTCTTCCACTTCTTTCGTATACCTATTCTTCTACTTTTTATCCTTTTCCTCCTCATCGTTTCTTCTTCTTCTTCTTCTTCGTCTTCTTCTTCTTCTTCTTCTTCTTCTTCGTCCTTTATCCATCAGGTATTTAAACTCCTGTACCTGTTTGAATTTGACATCTCAAATTCGTAGCTCATATCTTTGTCTTCTCTCATGGAATAATCCATCCTGTCTTCTAACAATCGACCATTAGTCTTTTCATCTGTCTTTCCTTTACTACTGTGTCCTGTATGATCTCCAGCTTCCTTAATATAGCTTCGCTGTTTAATAACAATCGATTCACTTTTCTCTTTACAATAGTCTTCTCTTTTGAAAGTTCCTTTTAACTTAAGCACTCAAAGAATCTTGCATGATATCCACATGAAAATCGATATCTCACAAAGCTATTTATGAACATAATGGACAGCAGCTCGGATGGAGGAATCGGAGAGCCGAGTTCGAATTCCACTCGAATCCATTACATTCACTTACGTGAATATTCTTGGAAATGATACGAATCCTCTTTTTCTCTCCCCGCAAGCTATGGATAAACAGACCGGATTCTATAGCCTTGGATGGCAACTGGTCTACCGCAGAAAGAAATGGCAACCAACTGCGGGAAAAAAATCTGCCTCGTTAGTCATGTATCGAAAGATACATGATCGCCTAAGCGTGTATCACGCATGTCAGATAACTTACGTGCTAATACCCTTGGGAAAGGTATGAATCCTTTTCTCCCCCACAGCTATGGGTAAATAGCAGGACAGACCTGGTTCTATAGCCTTGGATGGCAACTTGTCAGCCGCAGAAAGAAATGGCAACCAACTGCGGGAAAAATCTGCCTCGTCAGTCATGTATCGAAAGATACATAATCGCCTAAGCGTGTATCACGCATGGCAAATAACTGTCTGAAATTCACTTACGTGCTAATACCTTTGGGAAAGGTATGGATCCTCTTCTTCTATGGGTAAATAGCAGAACAGACCGGGTTCTATAGCCTTGGGTGGCAGCTGGTCTACCGCAGAAAGAAATGGCCACCTACTGAGGGAAAAAAATTGCCTCGTCAGTCATGTATCAGGCATGGCACATAACTGTCTGAACTCGATCACCTTATTTTAAACTTGAAATACCTAGATGTTACCGTAAGTTCTATGCTAACAGTTTCTTCTCTCGCACTTCTCACTTGAGGAACTCTTTTTCGGCTTCTTGCTTTCCCCTCAACTTTGATCTTGCAAAATATTAACGTAAAAATTGTGAAAAAAAAATTGTCCTCATATATCAGTAAATCAAGTTAGTGTAGGCAGAACTCCCCCACCCCACACTGCCCCGGGAGAGACTAGCTCTAATTTTCTCAAATTGTTTTAGTATTGCTTCTGTTATATTTTTAGAGATTCTTGATAAAATCCAAAGAAGAATTTGAAATTTTATTTGTCTTGATCTGGCATCTCGGCTTCAGTCACTTTTCTACCGCCGTAACGTAGCTACCCTGTGCCTTTTTCTATAAATACTTTCATGATAAATGTTTTGATACATTTATCTCTTTGCTACCACAACTTACGAATTTAAGAAGAGTAGTACTAGATTGGTAGTTAGGTCTCCTCATTATATAGTTGAAATGCCTAGATCCAACCGTAAGTTCTATGCTAATAGTTTCGTCTATTGCACCTCCCGCTTGTGGATCTCTCTTCCGACTTCATGCTTTCCAGTCAACATTGAAATGAATGACTAGTTTGTTAACCATTGCTCAAAGACAAGCATACAATCAAATGACTGCGAGCATAAATAAAATAGATGCGTTTTTTCTTTTCTTTTTTTACATAACTAAATTTAACCGCAAGTTCTATGCTAACACTTTCTTCTCTAGTAAATCTCTGTTGTATAAGAATTCTTTTGGTTTCTTGCTTTCAAGTCAGCTTAATTCCTGTTCTTTTATTGTCCTTTCTCCTTAATGATGTTCATCTTTTTCTCATATTCTTTCACACTCAATAACCCCCTTGCATCTTTGTGGCTTTATTGCCTTGGTTGAAGTAAAATGACTAAAGAAAAGATAATGCTTGCAACGATTCCTCGTTATCTACTCTTAAAATCTAACCGTCTTTTTAAAATTGATATCGCGTTTAAATTTTTTAAAGATATTCTTAAAAGCATGCATTAGATCTAGAGTCTAACATGGATGACATGCTTGGCGTCCATCTTGTTCATAAACTTGCATTCCAGGTTATTTTGATCTGCAAACATTTAAATTTAATGTCAATCGTTATCCTCTGTCTTCTTAATTTTCGTTCTTTTATTGCACTCGCTCCTTAATAAAGTTTTTCTTGTATTCTCTCATACTCAGTATTAGTGGCTTTGTTGCCTTGCTTGGCGTGAAAATATTCTTAAAATATGCATTTCTTAAATGGGATAATTAATCCTTGTTTTATTGTTATATAGCCTGGAAGCGGTTTCCCAGATTAAAATCGGATATTCAGGTTCGACTCCTGATTGGAAATGCATCTTCTTTAGTAAGACGTTCGATTCCTAGGGCGATCTTTTTTATAAAATTCAGGTAGCGTCCGAGACGAAAAAATAAATTGCAAATCGAAATATGTTTTTTAGAAATGTGTTATTGATAACAGATACAAACTTGCGGAGTGTGCAGTCGCAACGCTAAGGTTGAATTTTTGAAAATTTAAGTGAGATTATTTTTTTACTAATATGGCAATTTAAGAATTTTTTGTTGAAGACTTTATCAGTCAACGTGGCGTGAACTAAATAGTTCAATAAGTAGAGGAATGTCTCAGTTGTTTTTTCCTGAAAGTTTGAACGTCAGATCAGTTCTTTTAAATCAAATATGTGGTGCAGTTCAATTTATATTATGATGAATCATTAATACAAAAAGTAAAGTTAATGAGATAAAATGGCGAACAAAAAAAGTTTCCATGCCTGATGATGACCGGAGAGCCTGTCGAAAGTACGTTCATATTTAAGGAAGACCTAATACAGTTTATAATTTAAAAAAACAAGGATCACAACATTCATCGAATGGTTAGTGGGTTAATGGATTTTAAAAATTTAGTTAGCGAAATGAATTCGCCATTTTATCTCATTAACTTTACTAATTTACTTTTTGTATGAATGATTCATTGTAATATAAATTAAACTGCACCACATAATGGATATATATATATATATATGTGTGTGTGTATGTGTGTATGTGTTTGTTTGTGTTTGTGTTTGTGTACAGGTAAATTTTGGATGAGAATCAGACAGAATAGTAAATTTGGAAAACAAGGATAAACTGACAGATGGAAGAAGAGAGAGAGAGAGAGAGAGTAAGAGAGAAAGAGTGTGTGTGTGTGTATGTGTGTGTGAGAGAGAGAGTGTGTGCGTGAGAGTGTGTGTGTGTGAGAGAGAGAGTGTGCGTGAGAGTGTGTGTGTGTGTGTGTGTGTGAGAGAGAGAGAGAAAGAGAGAGAGAGAGGGAGAGAGAGAGAGAAAAAGAAAATGATGGTGAGTGAAGAATCTTTTGGTGGTGGTTGAGGGGGGTATTCAGTTTCTTAAAAGTCAGACAAATCCATGAATAGGATGACATTTTTTGAGGAATTACCAATTCCTTTGGCATTCAAAGAACAAAATGATCAAAGAGCTAGATATTTCGGACATCAGAGGAATCCAAACCTCTTCAAACGGCCAATGCTTTCCGTAATTATCAAAGATGACGTCAATTCAAAAGTTTAGCTACCAAAAATTATTTTATTCTCTTTTTCAGATTATCTTATTAGAATTATGCTTATCCATCAATTCGATAATTCGCGTGACCGTTACGCCCTGCCAATACCTCATAAATAATGGGCTATTCCGTTTTCATCGTGTGGAAAGAGGAGGGGAAAGATACTACTTGGTTTCAGTGTGAAAATATAAGAAAGAAAGAAAGAAAGAAGGAAAGAAAGAAGAAAGAAAAAAGAAAGAAAGAAAGGAAGATAAAAGTGTTTAATGTCTCCTGCCAATACCTCATAAATAATGGACTATTCCGTTTTGATCACATGGAAAGAGGGTGGGGAGATACTACTTGGTTTCAGTGAGAAAACGTAAGAAAGATAGAAGGAATTAAAGAAAGAAAGAAGGAAAGAAAGAAAGAAAGAAAGAACGAAAGAAAGAAAGAAAGAAAGAAAGAAGGAAGTAAGGAAGGAAGGAAAGAAAGAAAGAAAGAAAGAAAGAAAGAAGGTAGGATAAAGTGTTTAATGTCTCCTGGCAATACGGCATATATGATGGCCGATTACGTTTTGATCACGTGGAAAGAGGGGAGGGAGGCACTACTTGGTTTCAGTGAGAAAATGAAAGAAAGAATAAAGTGTTTAACATCTGTTTTAATGAAATTTAAAAGTGGCCAATTTCAAATCTATTCATTTGTACCCCCTTACTTCTTTAAATAACGACCAGCATTCATATTTATGATTGTTATTGTAATATTTTTGTCAAGCTCAAATATTTAACGATGCGATATGGGGGGGGGTTCTACGGATATTTTATGTTTTTTTGATGATGATGATGATGATGATGATCGATGGACGGTTTTTGCTGATGCTATTTTCTGGGTCCTGATGAAAGTGCACGGTTAAATTAACTCCAGAGCAATATGGTTTTGTTTTTTTGATTTCGTTGCTGGAGACGACGACCGTTGTTGAGAAAAGACCGGACATTTTCTCGCAATTCTCGCATATGGTAGTCTCTTCCAGCTTCATGCTTTCCTGTCAACTGCAATCTGCAAAATTTTAAATGCAACGCCAATTGTCGTCTTCTGTTTCCTTGAATCCTGACCATTTTATTGCCATTTCTCCCCGGTAGCGCCATGTTTCTTCACTCTCAGTAATCTTCATCACTTCAGAAATTATCAACAATATTTTCCTTCCTTAAAATTGATATTTAAAAATTGGAAAAATTTCCATTCCCAAATCGAACCTGCGGGCCTCGACCGTGGTGATGGAAAGCGGTCGGATCCTCTCTCCTGTCGTCGTAGTGCCGGCCGCTTTCCACGGCATGCAGCCATTAACGACATCATCAAAAGAGGTTTGGATGCAGCTGGGTTCCCTTCCCAAATCGAACCCGTAGGCCTCGAACGCAGTGATGGAAAGTGGCCGGATGACATTACCATTTTCCCTTTTAAAATGGGGAAGTCGTTGATTTGGGATGCGATCTGTGCGGATACATTTTCGGTCGGTAATTTAATCAGGTGCCCGGTTGAGCCGGGGTCCGTCGCCCGGGACGCAGAGATAAAAAAAAAAATAGTTAAATATTCTTTTCTTGCTGATAGATTTTTTTTTACTCCTGTGGCAGTGGAGACTTCTGGGGTTATTGGCCCTCGTTCGA